GGCTCACCGCAACCTCCGCCTCCTGGGTTCAGGCAATTCTCCTGCCTCAGCCTCCCGAGTAGCTGGGACTACAGGCACGCGCCACCATGCCCAGGTAATTTTTGTATTTTTAGTAGAGACAGGGTTTCACCATGTTGACCAGGATCGCCTCGATCAATTGACTTCGTGATCCACCCACCTCAGCCTCCCAAAGTGCTGGGATTACAGGCGTGAGCCACCGCGCCCGGCCATGACCTGGGACACATCTTAACTCGACAGAGCTTTCTGAGAAGCACACGGCAAGCAACAACATTCTTGTGTCCAATGACAGATTGTATTGAAATAGACAGAAGGGACCCATAAACAGGTGGCACTGTGAGCACAGGTCATGCCCTGGAGACTTGCTTATTAGAAGACTCTTAAAAAACATCCACACACACCAAACAGGCAACAAATAGTCCTCAACAATCTACCTGTTCTGAAGGGTCTTCAAAGGCCTACAAAGCTACAAAGAAGATCTTAAGTTTGCTACAGTGCAAGTTACCATAAAAAGGCGGAGTCTAGTAAGAGTCCCTTAGACTTATTTCTCAAGAATTTCAGCAAATTTTGCCCCATGTAGGGAAGTCCTTCCCTAGAGCAACATTTGCAACTGCTCTTAAATTCAATGTTTACTCCTCGTGTATATAAAAATACATTGTTTTCATATTAAAATTTTCACCAGAGATTTGGGCAATTCTGAAGTACTTTTGGGAAGTATGTCTGAATTCAAAACTTCGTTTTTTTTTTTTAAGTTCTGGGGATATGTGGTGGCGATGATTGAATATCAATGTGAATGTATTTAATGCCACTGAACTGTACACAGATAATGGTTAAAATGGCAAATTTTGGCACATATATTTTACCAATTAAAAAACCCAGTTTTTACAGTGAAAAAAAAATCTCAGAGAAGGACTCTGAATATTCTGTCTTGGGGTCTGTACTCACCCTTTTGAATAATTCCTTTCCCTAGAGAGATGAAGTTCTATGACTGTCCAGAACAAGATCATGTGCCCATCCCTGTGGACTGGGGTGGAGTGATGTACTATAATCAGCAGTCCAAGCACAACTACATAGAAAGGGGGAAAAGCAGTTTCCTCAAGGAGAAGAGTCGCTGCTGGCAGATAAAGGTGAAGATGGGGGAGGTATTCTGCATTGATAAATGTCTCCAGTCTTAGATTTACTTGTCTGGACATGTTGAACACCTTGCTTTCAGTCTTCCCTGGACATGTCTGAAGATCTGGTAGGATTCCTATCTTTGGATCTGATTACATGAAATACTTTGGAGTTTACTTGCAAAAACTTCAATCCAAGGGAAGAGAATGCCATGACACAGAAGCATGCCTTAAAGATAATGGGCCAGGATAAAAGGCATCAGGGTTATTCTATCCATCTGTCTTATCACTCATCTTATTTATTGGGCCAGATTCAGGCCTGAGTCCTAGAGTGTCTGTCTGTCTGCCTATCACTCATTATTTGTTGGACCAGATTCAGGCCTGAGTCCTACAGTGAAGGGGGTTCAATAAAAATGTGAGAAAATAGAAAAGGCTGTTTCACAGTGATCTCTGTGAGACACTAAAGGGCAAGAGGTCAGCAGCATTCATGACAACAGTTTCTGTGGTAATCTGACACCACACCCCAGTGTGGATATCTGCACCCTCAACATCAGGTACCAGCAGCATCAGCATAGACATTGAAGGCACTGTGATGGCGGCAAAGACTTTGCAAGTCCACAAAATTATCACTTTTGACATTACATGCCCACGAGACATGATCACATGAAGCCACAGTAGGAGAGAAATGGACTGGGCTCAGCTGAGCAGCTCTTTTGGCCTGCACAATGTTGACTGGGGCTGCAGTTATCTGTTACTCAAATGGTCTGGAATATTCAAGATGGCTCATTCAAATGCCTGGCAGCTGATGCTGGCGGGCATTTGGGAACTCAGCTAAGGCTGTTGACTGGAGTGCCTGTTTTTCTCCGCATGGCTTCTCTGTGCCTTGGGCTACTCACAGCATGTTGGTTGGTTTCCAAAAGCAAGTATCCCAAAAGCAGAGAAATTGGAAGCTGCAGATATGTGAAGCCCAACCTTAGAAACTAGACAATGTGACTTCTGCCACATTCCATTGATTGAAACCAATCACAGAGCTAGCCCAGATTCAATATGGGAATGGTTTCCACAGAATATGCAAATATTGATTGGGAGGCATGGTTCATTAGGGCCCATTTTGTAAACCAGCCACCACAGCCGGAGAATGCAGTTTTGTGACTATTTTAATGATCCCGTTTTCCCCATAGACTATCTAGGAAGCACATTATAGTTAAAATGTTATTCACTCAGCCATGTATTCTTGAATTCATTCAACAAGTATTTAATTATCTAACATATGCCAAACACTCTGCACAATAGTGAAGATGTTAAAGTGAGTATGACATGGTCCCTGAAATGAACACAGACATGGGAACAAACAGCAACAATGCAACGGCATGAGGACCAGAAAAGAGGTGGGAAGGGGGCATGGGAGCACAGAAAGCAGGCCTCTTTTGAGAATTAAATTAGCTAATTTACACAAAATACTTAGCGTTAAGTTCATACTTAGTGTTAAGTATTTATCCTAAATACTAAGTATTTACCCTACCATACTAGGATACAGTAGGCATTCAATATTTTATATTACTATTCATATATATTTATTTTTTTGAGACAGAGTTTTGCTCTTGTTGCCCAGGCTGGAGTGCAGTGGTACAATCTGGGCTCACTGCAACCTCTGCCTCCTGGGTTCAAGTGATTCTCTTGCCTCAGCCTCTCCAGTAGCTGAGTTTACAGATGCTGGCCACCGAGCCTGGCTGATTTTTTGTGTTTTTAGTAGAGATGGGGTTTCACCATGTTGGCCAGGCTGGTCTTGAACTCCTGACCTTAGGTGATCTCTCTGCCTTGGACTCCCAAAGTGCTGGGATTATATTCATATTTAATGTAATAATTAAATATAATAATATAACGTAAAATTCAATATTTTATTCTCAACGACTAGGTGAAGAGTGAAAAACGGGGATGAGATGGAACAAGTTTGGGAAGGAATATAAATTAACATGTTGACCTGTTGAATCTGCAGTGCCTGCGGGACCCCCCAGTGGAGATGTTTGGTAGCAATCACAAAATGAAACTGGAGCTTCAAAGATAGATAAGAGTGAGAAATATTAATCCAGGAATTATCAGTAAGTAGGTGATAATTTAAATTTTGGATATGGGTGAGATTATGTAGGGAAAGAGAATAGGTGTGGGAAAATACAAATCTGAAGGCAGAACCCTAGAGAATACCAGCATTTAAGACGCAAGAAGAAAAAAAGAGCCCACATAGTTACAACAAAATCAGTGGGAGGAAATCAAAGGAATTACAGGACAACTTTGACAGAGTATCAGACATTCTAGAATTAATGAAAATTTATCAATATTTAATTTCAAATTAGTTCAAAGATAATAATGGTATTTGATATTAACTTTCCATTAAATTTCTTTCATAGTGTTTTAAAATAAATCATTATAAGTAGCTTAAGAAGACATGTGGTCATAATACAATAAATGAATACAGAAGAATGGCTATAGGTATCAGCATTCATGATCCTTTTTGTCAACATTCGAATTAGGAAAACAACTCTTACAAAAAAATTTTTTTTTTTAAAAAAGATCTTCCTGTTTCCATAAGGAATGCCAATATAAAAGAGAAAAATTAGGCCCCAGTAGCAGTGAAAAGTAAAGAGATATACAAAGTAAGAAAGCGGTTTAAGCATTAATTCAAGAGCTTCATTGCTCTGTAGTAATGATTTCATGAATCTAGAATAGGTATCGAGATGGGCAGGAGTTGAAGGAGAAGCCAAGTGTTGAGAGAAAGAACCATTCTGAAAACCCACAACATAGTAACAGTAGCTTCACTATCAACTGAAAAAGAACACATTTGGGAAAAGTTGTTTTGCAGCTGTTATCAATATGTGTCATCATTTCAAGTCATTATTATTTTTTATTTTATTTATTTGTTGTTTAGTTTCAAGCACCTAAACTTTGGTATGCTGCCATCAAGTGGTAGGAGGGTCTATGAAAGTAAGAGAAGATATTTTCTCTGCATTTTGCTCTTTTTGAAACTATGAAACTGCTTTTCATTCTACTCAAGCTACACA